TTATCTCTCTCATTTTTGAAATTCAGCAAATTTGTATATGTAATTTCCAGAATGGATAAGAAGAAGTGGATGTGCAACTAATTTCTAGCTTTGAATCTCAATTAAGTGTATTTGAGACAAGAACTCAATGTAATTATCATCAACACAAACAACTTACAGCTTAGACCTCCAGTAATGCCATCTCAGAAACAGATTTTACATCACATCAAACCCAAAGATTGATAACAACCCTCATGACGTTTAGGCTACAACTAAGTGCTAAGTTAACATCTTGTAGAAAAACCTACATAATGTCAAAAAACAGCATAATTTAAAAAAAAATCGGCATAATGTCACTTTTCAAGATACATGATACCCGTGCAGGTTAGGAAGCACAACAACTAAGATGATAATGACACAATTATATTTTAAAGTGAAAATATTTACAATATTGAAAATACCAAAGTTTATGTTTAGCTCATAAGATGCTAGTTAACAGAAAACTGCTAAATAATCTCAACAACAACATTTGAAAATATCAATAGCTTGGCTATCAGAAATCGGCAGTTGAAGACGCAAGTGAATAAAAGTGTCATGTAACATTTTTTTTTAGAACTGCTTTCTTTGCATTAAACTAGCCTTAAGGAGTGCTTCTTTCAACCTGTGACTGCTTTGTTGCAAAAATAAGATAATAGCAAACTAAATAAACTAAATATTTAAACTGTCAATAAAGTAAAAAGTCCCAATAAAAATGTTTAAAGTTAATTTTCTTCATTCGATGATTTTTTTACATGACACCTTTATCCAGTTATCTCTTCATTTATTAATTATTCCTAAGCACTTCACGTCTCAAGCTGTACAATAGTCTTCTAATTGAGTAATTATACTCTGAATAATTTTAAAAAGAACTACTTAGCAATACATAATCACTCCCTCATCACTCTGTTCGCCTAATCTTCTTGAATAGTTTTGATATAAATCGAAAACATAAAATATCTCTATCTATTTTTACTAAAGATTCAAGTCTATAACAATAGGTGTTTATATTAATTCATCTTATTGTAAATTCAAACCGTTTGAAGAAGTTCATTCTATATTTACTAGGTACTAGAACTTTACGGCTGAGTTGAAAGATACCACTATTGTTACACCACCGATTCGATTCTTTAAATTTTGGTCAAATGATCAAAGTTCTTGATGAAGAAAAACACCTATCCAAATGCTTATTCGAGGAAATGTCCCACATTTTCATGAATGACAACTGTATGAATAAGAAGACAGATGTTAAGCAACTGAGCGTCATTTACTCATATTTGCTAAACGGCGAAAAGTTGGAGCACGTACATATCTCTCCAAATTTAGACTTTTCACAACTATAAATGGAATCTGTATTTTCGTCTATTCCACCCTTTCACTCAAAAATTTCCATTCCATTCAAATTTGAATAATTGTTTTTTTTTCTCATAATAAAATAATAATTGTTTAATTCAATTGCCCATCTCATCAACAATGCAGTTTGTTCAACTGCCTCTGGTCTGCTGACAAGTTCTTATTTAACATATCTTGACAAATAACACCATCTGAAGTGATTTGGCAACATAGAACACACTTTCCAAATTTTCGTTCCATCCATCGACACTGACACCACCAACTTTCTGTCACCTGCCAAATGTTTCATCCTACTTGTGATCCTGTACCCACCATCTTGTGCAGCATCAGATGGTTCACGATGTAATTTTAACTTTCGTTTTAAATATTTTTAATCAGTTTTAATTTGTTCCTGACATACTGCTGTGTGTAGTTTATATTAATTTTGTCGAATGTACCATGTATCTAGCATTCACCAGGTTACTGGTTGTTTCCCTCAACCTAAGCGTTAATAACATTTAGCAACAATCTCACATACGACTGTAAGTTAATTTAAAATCATTTTGCACTATAGTTGCTATTTCTTCTCAAGGTTATTGCAGCTCCTGATGAAGATAGCAAAGTCCATTGAAAGCTAGAGATTAATAAAGTATAAAGAGTCCTCTTTGCTTAAATTTTGTCGAAGTACCCAACAAAAGGCGGAAGCTTTATTTTTCACCTAACTGGTCTAAACGACAATGACCATGTCTCAAGTTATATACAGGGTGACTTTGAAGTTGAGTCATTAATTTACAGATAATGATTGTAGAAGGAAGATAAACCAAAATATGTGTGTAAACATAAAGAAAAAATTAAACAAAAAATGTTACCTTGTTTTATAAAGTATCCTCCCGACAAGTATTTCGGTGCGGACCTGTATTTGATCGTGCGGTCTTGAAGCACCGGCATGCCCTCCCCTGTGAGGTCTTAAGTCACCTGATTCACGAGCCCTTTGTTCTACATTAACAAAGGCACGAGGGGTTGGTTGCACTCGATTGGGAAACCGATCCGCATAAATCCGTGATGCCGCGGCAGCATTTTGTAAAGACTCCCCCCCGTAAATAAGAATCATGTCCACAAGTTCAGCATTTTCGTAAACATGTGCCATTTTTTATTTCATTTGAGCCACGCAACAAACACCACTATTCACTCACGCGTTACCGACTGACACATTGACTGAATACAACTGAATAAAATTGTAGTAAAAACATCGTTTCAAATTCTTTCGCTTTTTTGTTTCCGATGCGATGAACCGATAAGGCGGATTATATCCGTTGTCGCCAAACACGAGCACATAATATTATTATTGAGACAGGGCGCTAATCAAACTTCTAAAGGGCTATAACTTTGTTACTTTAATTTTACCACAAAAATGTTAAAGGAAAAAAACATTTCTTTTGATCAGATCTACTTACTGTTGAAATAAATGACTCAACTTCGAAGTCACCCTGTATATATACACCCTTTAACATTTTTGTGGTAAAATTAAAGTAACAAAGTTATAGCCCTTTAGAAGTTTGAGTACCGCCCTGTCTCAATAATAATATTATGTGCTCGTTTTGGCGACAACGGATATACTCCGCCTTATCGGTTCATCGCATCGGAAACAAAAAAGCGAAAGAATTTGAAACGCTGATCACGGTGTTTTTATTCAGTCTGTGTCAGTCGGTAACGCGTGAGTGAATAGTGGCGTCTGTTGCGTGACTCAAACGAAATAAAAAATGGCACATGTTTATGCGGATCGGTTTCCCAATCGAGTGCAACAAACCCCTCGTGCCTTTGTTAATGTAGTACAACGGGCTCGTGAATCAGGTGACTTAAGACCTCACAGGGGACTGCATGCCGGTGCTCCAAGACCTCACGATCAAATACAGGTCCGCACTGAAATACTTGTCGGGAGGATACTTTATAAAACAAGGTAAATTTTTTTTTTATTTTTTTTTATTTTTACACACATATTTTGGTTTATCTTCCTTCTACAATCATTATCTGAAAATTAATGACTCAACTTCAAAGTAATTTTGTTTTCGCCCAACATACAATGTGAGGACCTCCCATGCAAGATTTACATACAAATTGGGGACCGCGACAAAGTATCGTGTTCTCCAACCCCTAGTCATTAAGAAAACCTAAAAAACAGATGGTCCTCAGTTTGTAGATAAAAAACTAAAGCTTCCGCCTTTAGTTGGGTACTTCGACAAAATTAAAGGGATGAGGACTCTTTATACTTTATTCTTTATTAGTCTCAAGCTTTCGACGGGCTATGCCATCATCTTCAGAAGCTACAATAACATTAGGAAGAAATAACAACTATTGTGCAAAATGATTTTAAATTACTTACAATAGTATGTGTGATTGTTGCTAAATGTTATTAAAGGTTAAGTTGAGGGAAACATTTAGTACCCTAAGGAAAGCTGGATCCACGGTACATTCGTTAAAAATGGTAAAAAACCCACACAGCTGTATGTAAGGAACACATCACAGCGGATTAAAAATATTTGGAATGAAAGTTAAAATTATTAGCATATTACATGTTACATCGTGAACCAACCACTTGATGGTGCACAAGACGGAGTAGGACAGGATCAAAAGTAGCATGAAACATTTGACAAATGACAGAAGGCTGATAGTGTCAGTGTCGATGGATGGAACGAAAGTTTGTAAATTATGTGCTATGTTGCCAAATCACTTGAGAATGTTTGATCTTTCAAGATATGTTAAATAAAGACTTGTCAACAGATCAGACCCAACTAAAGGCGTAAGCTTTATTTTTTCACCTAACTGGTTGTTAGAGGACAATGACCTCGTCTCAAGTTATATATACAGGGTGTTTCAGTTTATTGTTGCATAACTTTAAGATTCGATAGAACTTTTAAAATTAATGCATAAGGTCTATATAAACATGGGTCGAAAAATGCGTGGCTTCCGAAATACAGGGTGTTTAAATTTACTTTCTAAAATAGTTTTTTTTTAATTATTTCGAACAATATTTGATGTATAACAGTGAAAATTGGTATACAAGGGTTTTTTGGTACGACAAAACGAATCATGAGCATAGTTTTACTGTAGCCGCTAGAGGGCGCTCTCTACTGTACCTGTAGTGTATTAAAATGACCGAAAAATTTTTCTTAGTGCAATTTCTTGCTTTTTGAATAAAAAAACTCATTCTTCGCACTTTTCAACATAATAAAGGCTCTCTTGTGAATTTTCGTTATAGTTAGCCGTTTTTGAGATATTTCTATTTTTAAGGTTCGATGCATTTTTAATTATTATTAATTATTATTGAAACACCCTGTATATATATAAAGAAAAAATGATCATGCGGAGAAAGGTATATAACAAAAAATAAGAAAATAATGGGCAAAATCCGCAGTAAGAAGGAAAGTAGATTCGAGCAGAAAATAGGATAGGTAACCCGAGCGATACGTATTTCTGCTGGTTGGCTCCATCAGGCCCGAAATGAATGCAAATATGCAACTACAATAGTAGATACACATGCCCATACATCCGGATATGGGTGTAACCTGAGGAAACGAAGATGTAGTGAGAAAAAAATTTAATCACGCACGAAGTCCTCAACAAGAGCCAACCTACACATTGTAGTATGAAATGGCTTGGCACACGTCAGTGATCATAGATGTCCATGTACATTTACCCTCAAAACCTAGAAATATGTATCTCGACAAATCACATGTCGATATAATAAATAAGTTCCAGGGTCTTAGGAATTATTGTGATTGTAACAAGATTTTGAATTTTATCATTACTACATTTCCACGGAAGTCTTCAATCATTTTATCAACCACTTACATCGGTGACTTATCTCTAAGTGTCTATACTATAAATTCAGTACAAAAAGTCGATTCGAAAAGTTTTTTTAATTTAGTTCAGACCAAGGACTAGAAAAAAACCATGAAGCTTTTTATAGTTACATTTACCATACTGATTCCTACCATCTATTGCCTCTCTGATCAGGAAGAATGGCAACAATTCAAAGTAAGTATAAAATATCACTTTTTTTAAATTTTCACCTTATTTTCTTGAGTTTTAGAATACACAAATCATCTGCGTTCCCATCGTCAATGTACGCTTTCTGCGCTTTTCAGAAAATATGTGATTTGAATCGCAAATTATATGCGAGGGTGATCCCACAAGCACCCGCAACAAAATTGTATAACGCTATGTTTGACTTTTTTCGATCATTATTTACTAGCAAATTTTCGTGGCACTGTTTAATCATAGCTTGAACTGAAGTAAATATCAAACCTCAAAAATAACCGCATGTGGAGCTAAAACAATTTTTATTAATATTTATATTTCATAGGCAAGTATAGAAAATGACAATATTTTTGTCAAAACCGTAAAACTTTTTTCATTGTTTCGGGCGCTAGTTTGAAAATATACTTACAAGTAGTTTTTTAATATATTGTGCCTACTCAGAACTTATGTGTGGCAGAGGTAACAATAAAAAGAATCCACAAAGACGCAGTCAAAAACGATGACCTCAGTAACGCATCCCGAAATATACAAATATTTATCGGTTTTGCAGGACAGCGAGCCGCTCATTTTGGCGCAGTGGTAGAACATTATGCCTTGAAGAGTGAAGATGGCAAGTTCAATTCCTGACAGTAGCAACTATTTATGCAAACTGGCATAAGGTTCCAACAGACAGCAGCAATTATCTTTACTTTTTTCTTTTCTCTCAAAATATGAACGACTGCTTCGTCGTGTACCTCTCCCGTTCATATAGACATTGAAAATAACGTTATTCCCACATCCTCCTTTCCCAAGCACTGAGTTGTGGGCTGAAGAGCGGTATCGCTCATTCATCACAAAATTATTTCAAATGACCTTAAAAACATTTGTATGTACCAGACGATCGTCTGTCCGTAACGAGCACAATGCTTTTTTGTAGGCGGCTATGTGCATTTACGTAGCACACCTCAAAGAAAATTGACTCTATTTCAAACGTTGGACAAGTTAATGAGTGGCGTATTATCTCATCAGAATACTGCTCCCAGACGTACCTGTATAGCTAAGGATGCACTAAGCAGGCTTTGAGTTGGTAAATTACCCACCGCATTTGCGAGTCCTGGCACCTCAGCAATTGCTTAACATTTTCAAAATTAAAATCACATCCACTAAAAAAGAAATATTCGAGTAACTAGCAACTGATATTTGTGGTAGAGGAGTGTTTTCCAAACAAGAGCTTTTATGTTAGAAGGGATTAAGTAGAAAATGAAAAACATAAATTAAATGTAGCTTTATTGCAGGGGTGGAGCTTAGGGATCAACCTTCATAATAGGGTGGTCACTTATGACAGTATAGCATTGATGAATCGTATTTTTACCTTAGACGCAACATGGTAAAGCCTACAGAAGTCTCCTTGAGGAAAAGATACGTTTCGATATCTTCAAGTCCAACCTCCGAATGATAGATGAACATAACGAGAGGTTCAGCAATGGCGAGGAAACCTTCGAGGTGAGAATTAACCAATTTGGTGACTTGAGTCAGGAAGAATTTCGTCAAATGCTGAGCTTGCAGAAAGACCAAATTCCCGATCGCGGCGGCAACTTAGCATTACTGGATGGCAATGAAGATCTACCGGAAGAAGTAGATTGGAGAGCAAGGGGCGCTGTCACCACAGTGAAGCAACAAGGGAATTGCGGATCTTGTTGGGCCTTTAGTGCGGTAAGCTTTATATTTTTTTTGTATTCCCAGTCCGTAAGCCTTAGAATAAATTGAAAACATATATGTCAGCACCAATCAGTTCAAAAGTTACCTACTATTATGCTAACTAATCAGCCGGCTGAAAGGTCTAGAATACTGAGGGATCGCGAATTTGAACGCAAAGGAATAACAGTCCATTAGCATATTAGGCAGATCACTGACCGAGTGCCCTTTCAATGTGGAACAAGCTTGAGACGACCACTAAGAAGTGGTGTCTTCAAGTATACCTGCGCAGACTAGTTAGAGCATCAGATCCACAGAGATGTTAACAGCATACCAAAAGTATTGAACCTAGGATGAAAATTGTGGAAGTTAAGTCGAAGAAACATCTTAATTCTAAACAGGTAACACTACTTATTCCCTGCAGCTGCTGGTGTTAACGGGACTAGCTGAAAGTACTAGACTACCACTACGATTAAATACTAAAAATATTTCCTTTCCAGATAAAACCGCGTATGAGAGGTTGATCCTTGGGTAGGGTGAAACTTTTACAAATTGAACATCAGTGCTGAAGCGTACGTACCGTAAAGCGTGCGTTTCACTAGCATTTTTCTGTATTCTCCAAATAATGTTTCGCTGTTTCGCTATTCATCTTTGGAGAGGTGATCTTGCCTTAGTATGCTCGGCTAAATCCCTTGATGTTATCATTTTCCTAAATGTCATTTTATCGCAACCTTTATAACCTGACCAATGAGGAAGAATTTTAAAATCTTTAATTGTTCCTGCACCGTCCTGGTAGTACAATACTCAAAAAATGAAGCGAGCAAAAACTTCAAATTTTTCGGTGATCTTTGGCAGGGTGTATTCCAGTTAAAAATGGTGGTATCGAAACTTTGAGAAAAGCATGCTGAATCTCCAAATTTTGTTAGCCGAAAAATTTTAGAGGCAACGGTTCTCATGCAATTCTAACAGATAGCGCAAGAAAAATGTTTTGTAAAATAGATGACTTCTTTTTAGTCCACGGGCTTGGAAAATATTTTTCCTGTTAATACATCATATGGTTCGGAACCCATTTATTCAGCTTCAATACTATGTTTTTAAAATCTCGAGATATCCGATTTTGAATGAAAAATTATCCGTTTGTCATCGACCACGGACATCTCGGTAATCAGTGATCGCACAGAGAATGTAAGGGTATTACCAAAAACTGGAATAAGTCTCCAATAACATTTGGTTGTAATCTTTGAGGATTTTTTTGTTTATTTATTATTGATGTTAATATAGTCAAAGATGTTACTTTTTGCCTTGTTTTGGAAAATCTACCGCATTTTTGCAACTGCCAATGAGAAGGCCAATGGTTTTAAGTTTTTTTCATACCTCAGTATACCCCAATAACGATGAATGACGGCAGATCGATCCATTGTCCGGTTTCTCCGGACCGGTTGGTCAAAATTTAAACAAATTTTGAGATGTATTCCAGTCTTCACTCATATCCTTACATTATCTGTACGATCACTGGTTACCGAGATATCAGTGGTCGATGTCAAAAGGATCCTTTTTCATTCGAAGTTAGATATCTGTATGCCAAATGATCGTATCAAGATTTTAAAAAGATATCGTAGTATTAAAGCTAAATAAACGGGCTATCCGATCCATATGATGACCTAACAGAAAAAAAAATATTTTAGTCCCGTGGAGGACATTTAAGAAGGCAAAACTTGCAATAAATTTCTTTCGACCAGAATGATATAAAGCAACTCAAAAGTCTCCGAAAAATCTCGATTTTTTTATTGCTCCCTTAATTTTTTTGAATAGTGTAGTTGGTTAATCCTTTTGCCGTAGGTGTATTATACTTTGAAGTTGAGTCATTAATTTTCAGATAATGATTGTAGAAGGAAGATAAACCAAAATATGTGTAAAAATAAAAAAAAATTAAATAAAAAATGTTACCTTGTTTTATAAAGTATCCTCCCGACAAGTATTTCAGTGCGGACCTGTATTTGATCGTGCGGTCTTAGAGCACCGGCATGCCCTCCCCTGTGAGGTCTTAAGTCACCTGATCCACGAGCCCTTTGTACTACATTAACAAAGGCACGAGGGGTTGGTCGCACTCGATTGGAAAATCGATCCGCATAAATCCGTGATGCCACGGCAGCACTTTGTAAAGACTCCCCCCCCGTAAATAAGAATAATGTCCCTCAAAACTCGAGGATATGATATTACTTGAATTCAGAAAATCGTGATTCAAATCACCCAGAACAATAACATTGTCAAAATCATTAACAATGACGGGTAGCAAATTATCTAAGACATTAACCCAGTCCAAAAGACTTTGCGACGGCGCACGATACAAAACGCCAACCGCGAATTTATGCTTATCCACATTCACTTGCACAAAAAGAGTCTCTAAACATACAACACGTATTTCAACATTAATAACTTTTGCATTCAAATGCGATTTAATATAAATGCCAACACCACCGCCTCGTGAGGCTCGATCACAACGGAAAAAATTGTATCCATCGACACGTACAATGTTATCAGTGATGTCGCTAGAGAGCCATGTCTCACTTACTGTTAAGAAATCAAAATTCTCAGTTTTCAGTATAGTTGTGAAAGCATCAAAATCTGATAAAAGAGACCGTACGTTTAAATGTCCAATTCTTAACTCTTTAATCTTCATAATTAACCCTATCCTTAAGATTATGATAATGAGATATATACAGGGTGACTTCGAAGTTGAGTCATTTATTTTAACAGTGAGTAGATCTGATCAAAAGAAATGTTTTTTTCCTTTACCATTTTTCTGGTAAAATTAAAGTAACAAAGTTATAGCCCTTTGGAAGTTTGAGTACCGCCCTGTCTCAATAATGATATTATGTTCTCGTGTTTGGCAACAACAGATATAATCCGCCTTATCCGTTCATCGCATCGGAAACAAAAAAGCGAAAGAATTTGGAACGATCTTTTTACAATTATTTTCTTCAGTTGTATACAGTCAGTATCAGTCGGTAGTCGGTAACGCGTAAGTGAATAATCGTGCCTGTTGCGAGGCTCAAATCAAAAATGGCACATGTTTACGAAAATGCTGAACTTGTGGACATGGTTCTTATTTACAAAATGCTGCCGCGGCATCACGGATCTATGCGGATCGGTTTCCCAATCGAGTGCAACCAACCCCTCGTGCCTTTGTTAATGTAGTGCAAAGAGCTCGTGAATCAGGTGACTTAAGACCTCACAGAGGAGATCATGCCGGTGCTCCAAGACCACACGATCAAATAGAACTAGAAGAACAAATTTTAGAATTAGTAAGTGATGATCCAACAGTAAGCACCCGACAAATTTCAACTCAATTGGCGATTAGTCAGTATAAAACTTGGAAAACTCTACGTGAAAATCAGTTCTATCCGTTTCACATACAAAAAGTGCAGGCCTTACAACCGGAAGATCATGAACAAAGGGTTGACTTTTGCAATTGGCTTTTAAATAAACATCAAAATGATGACAATTTTTTAAATCAAATTTTAGTGAGTGATGAAGCCCTCTTTACTAGAAACGGAATTATTAATTCACGTAATTCTCACGTTTGGGCTATTGAAAATCCCCATGAAATAAGGGAAACCAATTTTCAACAGCGATTTGAACCAATCAACCTGTGGGCGGGAATTGTTAATGGAATTTTAGTGGGGCCTTTTGAATTACCAAATCGCTTAACTGGTGAAAATTATTTTGATTTCTTGCAACACAATTTGCCTGGTTTACTGGAAGATGTGCCTTTAAATATTAGACAAAACATGTGGTTTTTACAAGATGGGGCACCACCCCATTATGCAAGAAATGTGCGTGAATTTTTAAATAGACAATTTAATAATCGTTGGATCGGCCGTGGCGGTTTTGTACCTTGGCTGCCAAGGTCTCCGGACTTAAATCCTCTAGACTTTTGTTTGTGGGGTTGGCTAAAAACTCTAGTGTATAAAACACCGGTTAATACACGCGAAGAATTACGTGCTCGAATTGAGGAAATGAGTACAGTGATCAGAAATCAACCAGTGATTTTATTGCGTGCTTGTAAAGAGACATGGCTAAGACGCGCCCAGCTGTGCGTCGAGCAAAACGGAAATCATTTCGAACAGTTTTTGTGACATGCTTTTGGGCGCACAGGTCCGCACTGAAATACTTGTCGGGAGGATACTTTATAAAACAAGGTAACATTTTTTTTTTAATTTTTTTTTATTTTTACACACATATTTTGGTTTATCTTCCTTCTACAATCATTATCTGAAAATTAATGACTCAACTTCAAAGTCACCCTGTATATATACTGGACATGACTTATCACCTGCCTTATAGGCTACATCAAATTTTGTATGAAACTTGATATTATGGTTAACACAGTTTTTACATTTTTCCGTGCTAGCTTGACAGTCTCTAATACTATGGTTTTCTGCACATTTAATGCAAGATACGGTCTGCACTCTGCAGTTTTTCGAACCATGACCATACGCACAACAATTAAGGCACTGTAAGACATTGATATGGTCAGATACATAATGCTTCATCCATCCCAGGTAGACAAACCCCTTATCAATGATATTCTTTCTTACCGTTGGTGGAACTTCGATTACCAGATGCACTTGATTACTCTTTCTCGTTTTCAGCCGTGTTGACAAATTATCCTCATCTACGTTATTCAGCATCACAACCTTACGGAGTATACTTGCATCGTCGCCCAGATCGTCATCCAGTGTAACATTTTTGACAAGCAATCGAGGGTTGTACTTTTTAGACTTTTTTATTTGATACCCACTGCCTAATTTAGACTTTAGGGCAGCACTGAGTTTTTCTAAGTCAGATCCATCCCTACAGTAAACTGCTGCACCTTGTTTCGTTTTCCTAGTGCCATCTTTTCTAATGTCCAGATTTTCCAGGTTCACGCTGCTTTTTATTGATTTAATCACATCAGTATTTCCGTTATTGCTATCCGTTTTTACTAGAAGGACAGCTGATTGTTTGTTTACATG